GAATTCTATCATTGCAATACTTCAAAATATTACAATTTTAAAAACAGTCAATAAATACAATTTTTCGATAATATATGTATTTAATTATAACTTTTAATTAATAAGTTAGCTAAAATTATATTTATATATTCTGGTATAATAATTAGCTATATGAACTCCAACCAATTTTCCAAACCCGGGAGATATGATTCTAAATATATATTTATATAAATATTTGTTTTTACTACTATATAACAAATTAAAACAAACAATAAAATGATTAAAAAAGTAATGTGAAAAGGTCGAATATAAATAAATCAAACACAATGTTTAATAAAGCAAGCGAAGGCAGCTTTATTTATTATATTTCCGGGTGAGTGATCATGTGTAAATTTGTGTGGCAATTTATAAAATATCTATTTTTGATGTTTATTGATAATAAAACCAACAGCTATATTGAAAAATTTTTTGGTAAAAAGGCTTATTAGACTCAGTTTATTTTTGTACCTACATTCGGTAGTTATATTATGAAGGTTTATAGTATTGATTTATAAAATATTTTTACAAAGTAATTCATTTAATTTTCTATTTTGTATGTAGGATTCGTTTTTATAGAAGATATTAGTTGTTCCAATATCGCAATCAATCTTTATCAATTTCCGATTAAGATGTTCTGCCGCTGAACAAGGAATACGAATGTAGTAGATATTAGATTTAATTTTATAAAGTTTTTAATTAAGTTAATGTTATATATTTATTAAAAAAGAAAAATTAGGAAATCACTCACAAAGTACTATTGTTTAGTGAGTTAGAGTAACAGAAATTACTGCTGTAATATTTTAAGATTACGAGTTAAATATATAAAACTATAAATTGTTTATAAATGAGTAGTATATCATTGATACAAAAGAATAGACAATATATAGATATTCACATCTATTCAACTTATATTAACTAATTATTTTGGAGAAAATATTCATAATAGCAATGTGATTACATGATAACTCACACACTACAATGTAATTTAAAAAAATTTCTAAAAGTCATTTTAAGTTAATTTTTTTTTTTTGTGTCATAATTTAATGATTATCACAAATTATTAATTATGTAATCATCATAATGACATTTTTTCCGATTAAAAAATTAATATACTAGCAACGATTATAACGATTAATGAATATAAATTGTTCAAATTTTATATTTATTTCTAACAATATAATCGCATTTACTTTAAAATTGTGAAAATTGGGCTACATGTTTTAAACCCAATTTTAATTATTATTTTTTGAGTGAAGTTAAGTTTTACTTAAGACGAATAATTTAAGAATTTTTAACGTGATGACAATAAAATATATAACTTTAACATAATGAAGCTTTGTACAAAACATTAATATTAATAATATATAATTATTAAGATTGAATACGGTTTAATATAAAATTATTTATGTTGTTGTTAGAGCCCAAAATGATCCTAAAATATGGTGCTAATAACATTAGTGTATTACTACCATAGGAGTAAAAAGAGCACGTGCATAGGCTACTTAGCACCTCCAAGGAAATTTAACCATTATTTAAAAGTTTGTGATGAGAAATAAAATAATCTCTTATATTATTGTACAAATAATTAGTGTTTATTTTTATCTTGTCTTTTAATATTATGAGTTCGTGATGTCATCGGTGTAGTATGTGTATTTCTTTTAAACATAGCAATATTTTTTAGTTTTAATGATTACAGTTACTGGTTTTAAAAATAAAATTCAAAATTTTTACAAGTAAATTTTTTTTTATGTTTGAAACTTAAACACCCTCAAGTTTTACAACACTATTTTCGCCTATAATTACTCTTACAGTAACATTGATTTACTATTATTTTTAAAACTTATTAATACTCGTTGTAATAGTAAAAATGCAACTTTATCCACTACAAACGTAAGTGCATTACATGCATACTATTTTATACAAAATTGTGCGTTATTTGAAAATAGCACTCGTTGGTTTGACTTTTAAACTGTATCTTATTATTATATATTTATAATTACTGTCTGGTAACAAAGAACAAACAAAGAAGTTTTTTATATTTTACTAATAATAACTATATGTATCATATATTATTTAATAAATAAATTAATAACAATACCTCAGAAACTGGACCATAGATACATCATAAAATATTTAGCGAAAAACATATAATTCTAATTGTTTCAACAACAAACTAGGGCCGTACGTACGGGATGCTGGCAAACAACTGCCTTCCTTAAATCCCATCGTCCCCCAAAAAGCGTGGAAGAAGAGTTTTCCTGAGTGTGTTTTACGCATGATCCAACAGTTAATGGTACTGTACATGTTGTATATTATCATATACAAATACATTTTATGGTATCTTGTGTTAGATCCTTTTTCACAAATGCTACTTTCCTACAGTATTCATTTACAAATCTTTTAGTAATAAAATGCAAACGACTTGTTTACCCGTTTTACTTTACATCGTTTAATATTTTATGCATTTCTTTACTAAAAATCTTTTAGATCATAAAAATTGAAACATTATTACTCTCCCTTACGAATACAAAAATAACCATACGATAAATTCTTAAAGAATTAATAAATCATACTATATTATACGTAGTATAATATTTCAGTATAAACAACTGAAAACTCATTCATAGGAATAAAAAGCAAATATTTTCACTTATCATTTACAATCAAACAAATTTGGAAGGCTAAATCCTATTGTTACTTTAGTGTCAATAATGTTTTATTGGAGTTCATATTTATCATTTTTTTGTTCTTCACATAATGTCTCCGTTTATTGATTGATTTAGTAAATCCCAAATTGAATTTAAACAATACAAACGGTAGTCATCAAACGTGATAAGTAACATCTATTAAAATACTTTTTATTCAGAAAGAATTTAATAATGTATAAGCGAACGTCTTAATTTTTATACAAATATTATGTATTACTTTAATACGTCATGTGCATGCTGTTAGATATTTCATTAATTTTTAAATTACCAACGTTAAAAATTTTGATTATATTTGAGCGAACATTTTCACAAAGTAAATTTGAAAATGTTAAATTTGAGTTTTGGGTATGTCTTACATAAATATTACTGATATCATGTTTAGATTAACAAATTTAAATTGTTTAATATCATACTATAATATAGATCTATGATACAGATAATGAATAATGACTATTATTTTCTTATAGTTATGAAACTGAAAGCAGACAATGTTATATTTTAAAAACAATATCGTATCCGGTTTTCACAATAATAATTTAACATTCAGTATATGCATAAAAATAGATACAATCATTAATAAAGCACAAAAATCACGTTTTTCTTTCTCCAGTTTAATGTAAAAAATTTAAGCAAGTAAAAATTTCATATATATACTACGTAAGAATTCATAACATAACAAATTGTTACTATTATCGATTACCTATCCAATACTTAAAGGCTACCGACCAAAAATATCTATTAATGTAATAATACTTTCTCGAAAGTATCCATAATGGCCAAATAGAATCTTTTGTCATTATAATAAATAACATTTAAGATGACACTTGACTCAGGTCACATTGTTCTTTGTCTAGTCCTCGGCGCACAAAAATTTTTTTCTAGGTAACTGTTCAAAATATAACTGATGCCTATAAAATATCAATAAACTAAAAATAGCCATAGAATTATAATATTGTAGAAATAAGTTTCTAAATAATGATTATATTTAAATCAGTTCTTACTTTACATGCATGTATAAATGTAAATATATAAATGATTATCTTTAGATTATTATGTATAAACACAGACAAAAATGTATGTCCATGTTTTATTTGATTTTATGTATTTTTTTTTATAATAGATAATTAAGGATTTCTTATAAAAAAAATAATTACTGAAAGAATATAATATTCTTTTGTGAGAAAGGAGGAATAAACAATTTTTTACATTGTTTCACTCTAGGGGAAATCTTAAGAACGCTTCTGTTATGAATTATTGATCACTTCAAGTTAAATAAAAAGTTATGAATGTGTTAAAACTTTCATGGATTGTCTTGTTGCTTGAAGTGCTTGAGGATATATCCATGTTTACAGTTGAGTTCTGACGTTTCGGACTCATTGCAGAGTCCATCTTCAGAGTGATGGTTGCTAGTCGGTGGCTGCAACTATACTGGCCAAGTATACTATACTATACTTTTTATAAATAAAAAGTGTTACAAAAAACATACTTAGTCGTAAAAAGATTGAAATAATAAATTTCTGATAAATGTAATATTTTTTATTGGGTTCAAATTTACAAGTATTTCATAACATACAAAAAAAAAAATTAAGGAACGCTTACTTCAAATTTATTAATTTTATTTTTTAATCTGTTATTGATTGCTGTAATTCATAAAATTATTTTGCAATATTAATAGTAAATAACATTTTTATGATATAATATTATGACTAGACTGTTATAACATTGCGGTGGTTTTTCTGCACCCCTTCATACTTTCACTATAATTATTCGAAAATATTCGATCATATTATGTCTAAACTATTAATGTTTTACTCGCTAACCGGACCTATGCGTGTAAAAAAATCACTTTCCATTAGTTTTGTCAAGTAGAAAAAAAACTAATTCTTTACTCATACGGTCGAAAGAAACAAAAGAATCAAAAAGAGATAGGGCTAGGTAGAAACTGAAACTAGGTCCAAATCTGAATATACAGCAGCGTCCGGGCATGAGCTCTCATCAATGGAAGCTCTAAAAGAAACACATACACACACTGTTGAGAATATAATGTATACAAATTAACTGTAGGTAAAAATTACTAATGCAAGTGCATGTATAAGTGTGATGTCCCTCTCTTTCGGTAGAAAGTGTCTTGTTTTTTATTATCATAGCTATTATGAGCGTCAGGCAAAGGCGTGTGGAATTTTAACTAGGAGGCCGATGGAGGTGATTTTTTTTGTTTTGTTTTCTAAAACCGCGGGGCGAGGCGGCCACTTTTGATAAAAACACGGTGATATGCCCGTACAACTGTTAGTGTGTTCCCATGAGCTTTATCGTTCGGTCAAAAATAACAAACACACAAATGGTATTATTCCTCGCGTTTGGTTAGTATATGACAGTATATGGTTTTCGACAAAATAATTTTAAATTAAATTAGTGTACAAGAAATACCACGAGACGTTAAAAACTGTGATACGCGGGTGTTAAGCAAACTGTGATTAAATTTTTGTTCAGGTAAATGATAAACGTTTAGTATTTTTATAACGCGATTAAATGTTTTATTACATTTTTTACTATTTCAATTATAACATAATTATCCAAAAGTTTTCAAATATTCATCAGTTTGGAGTATAGATAATATATGGTTAAATATACTTGGCGATTATTTATTATTATTTTTTATTTTACAGTTTGGAAATACAAATTTGCTAAAAATATAAAATGCATAATATCTATTTATTTTTTAAATAAAACTTTGAGAGCTCATTAAAATTTTCATTAAAAGTATATTCTTTTATCTTTACAAATTTGAAATAATAAAAATTAAAAAAATACTTTTATAATTCATGTATTTTGTGTAAAAGTCACTTTTATTTACTGATTGCTAAAAGCTCACTAAAGTTTAAGGATAAAAATATTTTTAAATGATGTTTTTTGATTAGATTGTAAAAGATAAAATACATTTTCCTTAAATACTTTTTTTTTGTGAGCTTTTCATATTTTAATAAAATATAAACTTCCTCATATCTAGTGTATGAATAAAGAATTTCTATAAAATTCAAAATTTTGGAACAACAGAAATAATCTAAGAAGTTAAAATTTTTAAAAGACTCTTTTGGGTGATTGCTGCTCTTTAAACAAATATATTCTCATTATTCTGTTGTATATTGATGGATTATAATAAACCAAAAAAAAATGTTGTGCTGATGTTTCTATGAATAAATTTAAGTACTCATACTTTCGTTAAAAGTTAATGGTAATTTTCCTGAAGAGATAACAATCTTTAAAAATAAATGGTAATATTTTGCAGATACTTACATCTAAGGTAAATCAATGAAAATGTTTTTAACATATACATATGCCTCATGAATCATGAATTTTCCACTTGTGACAGTATATATTTCACTAACAGACCTTACATTTACTAAAATTTATGTTTATAATTTATTGGACAAATTTCATTATTTTAACAAATACTACGATTTTTATTACAAAAAAAATCAAATTTTTATAATTATAAAATATTTTGTGATGTTTATCTAGTAGTTTATAATTTATATATTTTTGAAAATTTGCTAGCTTCTAGAAAGTATAAATAGTTACCTTATTTATAAAAATCATTAAAATTTCGTAAATTAAATAAGTTGTAAATAAATTATATAATTTTAAAAATAAATATAAATTGTACACATTTAATTTATAACCTAATAATATTTAAGTAACTAGTAAATTTCATAATACGCCAAGGGTTTTTGATGTCTTAGATAATCTCTGAAAATACGAAGCTATTTTTATTGTTATAATAAATGAAGTCGGCGCCTTCATGACACATAAACGATATAAAGTGAAATATTTAGAATAAAGCCTTTTTTGCGGAAATATAAAACTTTACAGAACACATTTATCTTGATAACTTGTCATTAATCTCGAGATTACACATTTTTGAATGTTATAACGATCGTGTTTTTGATCAATTTTTGTCACACCGCTTTTGCTCTTGATTTTATTTAGGAGTGTTTCATGTAATTTTTTGAAAGAAGAAACAATTATAAATCGGTCGTTATAGTTTTTGAACACATGCTCATGGAACGTGGGCCGAATTGAAAACGTAAATTATGTTTGCTGAATTTCTTATAATACTTTTCGGACAATATTTAGTGGCTCCCCTGCCTCGCCTTCTCTCGATATTATTAAATGTTCGCCGTCGTGGGCCTGACTTTTGTCACCATGACAATGATCTCGGGACTTGAGGTACTATTGTTTTATCAATAATTTCACAGTCGTCGGAGAAATCTTCTTTCGCTGTCACTATGTTTTAATGACGAATCAGCAGACTCCAAATGGGTTTCTGTCTATGTTATTATTACTTTATCACTTGATTAATGCGTTCAAATCAAAACGTATATTTTGCTGATTCATTAGTTAGATCGACCATTTAGTGTCCACCTAAAAACCAAAGTAAATTTTTATTATACACAACTGAGTTCATAATAAACTATTGTCATCATCTCGGAATCACGTTGATCTCGACACTTTCGATTGATTAAATTGTGTATTTTCATATTTTTATGAAACGTAAGTGTCCGTCGACAAAAACATAATATTTCAATCGCAGCCACCGCACAGCCCCAAGACCTAATAAAACTTTGTTATAAAGTTATTTTTGCTTCAGTCAAAAATCGTTTCCATATTTGACCAAAAGAAAATTAAATCTTCCAGCTTCTGGCACATTTCAAGACCTATATTTATTACAAACAAAATATTGTTCAAATTTTTTTACATATTAACTTAACTATATAAAATCTAGTAAAAACCTATTATTATTTTATAATTCTATATAATAGAATTATACATTTTAAACAATAATTAAAACATTAGCACCATCCAAACAAATTATGTGCTATTATAATCGAAAACAAATTAACTCTTTTTATTGCTAACAAAACATCGCGAGTCTATTAGATTAAAAAATAATAATCTGTTTACATTATATTTTAACACTGATAATTTTGCACCTAATAAATTTTTCAGCTAAATTGTCCAAAAATGGGACAAGTCACAATAATTTTAGCAGCATTTGTAGTGACAGGTTTATGTCAAACTCAAACAAATGTTGATTCATCAGTTTCACATGGATTTATGCCAATCAACAACAATCAACCATCAACAGTTGCTGTAGTTGCACCAGAAACTTCGTCGGTTCAAAGTAGGGATTACTCAGGTGGTTCCGATTTCTATGGTTATAATGGTTATCCAGCTAGTTATGGACCACCAAGTTCAAGTTATGGATCATCGGGATCTGGTGAGTAGAGTTTAAAAATCATTTAAAAATGATTCTAATTTAACATTTTCAATTTTTTATTATCGTTTACATTCGTCTATTAAATAAAACTCATTTCGGAGCTGATGATCTGTTAAAATTAAAACAATAATGCTGTTTAAAAAAATATATAAATAAATTAGACGCATGTTTACAGGAGTTTCATTCGAACCATCTTCGCCAGGTGAATCTAGTTCCTATTCTGGTTCTAGTTACAGTGTTCCGTACTATCCATCGTATGGAGAAGACACGAAAAAACGCAAGCCAAGTTATGCTGCACCATATTATCCACGTAAGTTAAAACAAATATAGACAATAGTTTAGGTTTGTACTTATATTTTGATCATTATAACATATGAAACATTTTTAATAAAAATATAAAAAATTCTTTAATTACTATTGGGCAAACCCCTTATTAGCATTAAAATGGGAATCATTAGAAAAATATTGCAAAAATAAATGCATAAGACTTTCAACAATACTATTTAATTATTTCTAAAAATGGACAATTTGATCTTACACACGACATAAAATTTTATAATGAACATTTAGCACACTAATATATGTACTTTCTTTGTAATGACATTTAAAACAATTTTAAAAAGTAAAAATTAAAACATTAACTTTAAATAAGCGATAAATATTGTTTTTGGCATTCTATATAATTAGCATAAACTTTTAACTATTGTTCGTACGCTTTCTCTATTTATGTAGTCATGACAAGTAGTTTAGCATACAAAAAAGTTAATTGGGTTAAAATTCAAACTGAGAAATTAAATTCACGTGTGTCAAGTATAAAAATAAAAATAAAAAATCTTGATGAGTAATTGGAAAATTTTAAACGTTTTATTTTACCAACTTATATTTGCTTCTAAAATTTTACTGCGATTTAATAAGAAAATAATATGCTTCACAATAATTTTAACTATTATATCACTCATGGTGACTTATATCATTTAACTTAATTTGTATAAAATACAAATTACTTTATAATACACAAATAGTTTATTTTTTGCAATAACTTGTAATATCATTAGACTAAAAGTTTGTGAATAAAATTATCTTTATACTTGCTCAAAAATGTATTACAGTACATTCTTAATCAGCTCTCGCGGGAGCTTATTTAAATAATTACTTATTTTTAATTTTCATTGATACGTGATTGTCCTAAATAAAGATAGTCAAGTCTTTTTATATCATATTGACAAAATATATCACTTAAATAGAAGTTGTTGCTATACGAAATCGTCCAATTGGCCAAACTTTAACAACTATATTGATAACTGATTAATCGGAATACACGTAGTGGGTAGAACGGAAATTAATCGATTTCTTGTATATATTATTTTTGGGAAAGGGTTGTGTTCGAAAGAGAAATCAAGGGTCCCCGTGTTGTTTCGGGGCAATTAATTAATTAACTCTCTCATATACAACATACATGCCCATACATTCATTACAGAGTATATGGTACCAATGCGACAGTAAAACAATGCGCTCCTAGCTAAGCATCAACAATCAATAGACAAAAAACAATACAAAACAATAATTTGATTGGTATCGTAAATATATGAGTAAATACAAACGATGATATTTTGTAATTTCCATCACCTGTTAATAATAGTAAATTATTAACGAATGGGAGAAATTTAACGCCCACAATGAGGTTGATTAAACATTGTTCCGAAGGAAACTGTATCGCAGCAGCCTATCATCTGAAATAATAATCTCTAATTCAAACACCCAAAACAATCAATAATATTATCATTATGGTTTTGTTGAAAGTAAAGTTTAAATAAAGGCGAATGATATGCATAAATTAGTAATTTTTTAAGATAAGCAAATCTTTATAACTTTTAGCTTAGTCAAAATTATACTTTTAAATCAAGTTATTTCAATCAATTATATTTTTTATTACTTCGTCGGAGATTAATCAAATTAATAAAATAAAATAATAATAATACAAATCTTATTATCTAAACTTTTTTTAATTTTAAATTTAATTTTGGAAAAATCAATAAAAAGATTAATTCATGAATTTTTGTAATCTAGACTTGAGTATTTTCTTAAAATTATTGTTTAATTTTCATAACTAAAATACGTTTTAAAATTAAATCATAGTAAAATAAAATGTATATATAATTATAATAACACAAAAAAAATTAAAATAATTAAATTGTACTTTAATGTATAAACGGATTATAACACCAAAATAAATTGTTAATTTATATTAAAAATATTTTATTTTATAAGCTTGTTAGTTGCTATGTTTTGAATACTACTTCTGTTTTTCACGTGCTATTGTTTTCAGTTTAATTATAATAAACTATTAATTTAGTTAGTTTAATATAAACATAATTTTAGCTTCGATGCGAAGCTGAGAAGGTATTAATTTTACTAAGATGTGTTTTTTTTTTTTTTTATGTCTGTTACCACTTTTTCTCAGCTCTCACCGAATCGATTTCTTTCAATGATACGTCAAAAGATCACAAATCGTATCTAGTCGAAGACATTACCCTCAAAAATTGAAAAAAATTCCCTCGTTCCCCGTAAACGGGGGAAATCCCCCAAAAAATAATAAATTTAAAAATCGCTAATTTTCAAAATTTTTTCAATTTTTTTTACTTAAAACTGCTATAACTTTTTTAAAAATAACCAAATCAATAAAAAAAATTTTTATATAGATGCATGATATTATTACTTTTCATTTGGTATATTTTTTTTTTATATGTGACCCTTTACTTGCCCACAGAGGAGGATTTAAAATGACAACTTTTTCACAAAAATTAAATTTTTTCAACTTGATTTTTGATAATGTTCCGGAAAGTCTGACACNTGTATATAGATGCATGATATTATTACTTTTCATTTGGTATATTTTTTTTTTATATGTGACCCTTTACTTGCCCACAGGGGAGGATTTAAAATGACAACTTTTTCACAAAAATTAAATTTTTTCAACTTGATTTTTGATAATGTTCCGGAAAGTCTGACACTTTTATATATATCTTAAATTAAAGATAATGTAATATACTTTATTATGGTAAAAAAAAATTTCCGACTTTATTTTATCTTCACGGTGAAAATGGCTACCGAATGCTATTATTGTGTGAAAATTCTCGATTTTATTTTTTACATTTTTAACTTTATAATGCTATGACATATTGAAAAGTGTATGGATCAACATTATTTTTTTATGAGAAATAATATTTTTTAATAATCCCTTTTTCATTCGACATACTTTATCTGAATCAGGATTTTAATAATGAACTAGCAAATCATGTAGCTTTTGAAATAATCTACCAATTTTTTAAAATTAAACACTATCTAAAGATTTGCATCGAAGCGTTCTTTTTTATAGTGATTTTAATCACTGTCAGATATCATTATACTTGATCCATCTATGCTACGTTACCACTGTGCCGCGACCCCCCTGTGCTGGGTTTTTTTGTTTTTAATTTGTCAAATTTTTTATGTCTTTTTTAGAAAACAATACTTTCTTAGATATTTTGAAATTGGTTTCGTCATTTTATTTAAATACACTTTTGTTTCGTCTCATATATGGCCCATTTTTTATAAAATAATAATCCCAAATGTTTAGTAAAATTAATTAATTCAATCGATATTTTAAAAATGCTGACTATCATACAGTGCATAACATTTCTTTATTTAATCTAAATAAGTAGAAACTAGAGCATAAAATAAACGAACATTCTTTATTATCATTTTCAAAATAGATATACATTTAATGATGTTTTGTTAAATTTTATTTGGTTGGTAAAATATATCCTAAAATATATACAATTAAATCGAAAATATTATTACTGTATTTTTAATTTTCTTATTAAATGACTAATTTTTATTCAGAATATTTTATTTACATTTGAAACAAATTTATACAAAATTTGTAATAATAAATCTGGAATATTGTCTTAGTAAATTTAATAAAACTGTTAAATTTTATTACAGCTACAACAGTTGCTTGTCCAAGTCCACTTACCAATAATATTTTAACTGATATTTTGAAGACCGGAAGTACTGCGAAATTTGGCCTTATCAAATCAGTCATTGCTGCTATTGTTACATTGTTCCTCGCAAAGATTCCCATACTTTTAGCAGTTAAAGCTTTAATTCTAAAACTTTTCGTGGCACCCATAGCTATTGTTGTACTGTCATTACCCATACTCGTCCCCGCGGCTCTCTTATTTCAACCATTATGGAAAAGATGGAAGGAATTCGTGGGCCTTGACTCTAAGCCGCAGATGGTTATGATGATGCCTTCAAATGACACTAATTCAACAACGACCCCAGCCAAAACAAGAGCACTGGAAAACAATTTGGAGAGTGTATTAAGCAACTTACTTGAGTCAGAGAAGTGTATGGAAAGACTTGCGTGTCAGTTGGGAGTTCGTGATTCAAAAGCAGAATTCAAACAGCAAGTTTCGTGGTAAGATAATTTTTTGTTTAAAGAAAAATCATAATTTTGATTAAGTTCAATAATTTGTTATGCATATAAGATCTATTAGTTTATGGTACTTAGTAATAATTATTTTACCAATGAAAATTTCTCCGTTAAATCTATATATAGACCACACAATTCACATGAATGTATAAAAACAAATTTTGAAAATATTTTGGAAAAACTCTTATTATTTTAACTGATCTCAAATTAAAAATTAGGTTTATTTTTTGTATTTTCATTTTGTTGATTCGGGTTACTTAACTATAACGATTTAGTACAATAATGTTTATTGATTCGGCCCCTATGAATTCGTACTTGAAATTTGTACACTACATAACAATAGTCTTCATTTTCTGCCTAGAAACCGTTATACAGAAAGTGAAAACTCTTAATGAACTTTTGCTTTAAAATAAACAGTATACAATATTAATTTCACAATTTTACACAGCATCGAAAGCGAAAATATGAAATAACTATTGTTTTAAACAGTATAGACATAATTATAACTTTTTAAATTGGGAAGGTTGTATGAAAAGGTTTAATTTGAAATAATTGATTTTCCATTAGAGTACTTTGATTACCATTTTTAGCAGAATTCTAAGGATTTTCAAATGTAAATAATTAATTAGTTCATCAACATAATGATACATTTTTAACGTTTAAAAATACTTGAATACATTCGACGTATTAAAAAAAAAATGAACTGTAATATTATTGAAATAAAATCTTTTTAGTTTATAATTTGGTTTAGTTTAAGTATAAAAATTAATAAAACCTTTTCCTTTCATTTATATCAATGTATAAAAAGTTATTTTTTCATAATAATGCTCTAATTTTATCTAAACTATTAATTAACAATAAAAAGATTTTTATATATTAGATAATTAACGTTCTCCCAATTTTAATTAAAATAAAGAGTAATTTTATATTTAGATTTTTTTTTGCTTGGTGAAAAAAAATCATAACTCTTCGTTTTTCATCTTACAAACAGTAAAATCGTATTCACATATCATTTTTTATGATTTGAATAGTAAATAGCTTCATTAGACAAATCGAAAAGTCTTAATTAGTTAAATTTTATTCTTACTGATGTTTAAGTAATTTGAAATTTATATAATATGATTTAAAACCCATTCAAATAAATATAAATTTATCTAATTAACAAAATAATAAACGCTTATAAAAACTTTTTGTTGTACATGGTCTTATTAAGTAATAAATAATTTAAATTGATTTTCGAGTAACATTGGTGTTATTAATTTGTGGTTTACTGTGTTTGACCGAAAATTTATTAGATATAACCATCGCTAATTGGAAAATAATACTACCAAAATAATTGTGACATCTTGACAGGAAATACGATATTCATATAAATCAATTTAAACGTCGATGACAAATTGAGAGGAAAGACCTCCTGATGGAAACGACCATCTCATGCTCTATTAATAATGTATTTTCACTCTTTATTAAATTTGCATTTATCTGAGTTTGACAGATAAAAATAATCTCTTATTGAATCTTTGAATTGAAATATTTTAATAGTTTATTAAAAATGAACGCTTTATATTGACAGTATTATAGTTGACAAACTACAGTTAAGTAAAAAATAAAGAGTTTTTGCCAAAAAAATGTTGTAAGAAAGGACCATTAGCTGATGAGTATTTTTGATTCTAAAACGAGATAAATGATGAAAAATAAAAAATACAAGATCTGTCCATTAGTTTTAACATTTAATGTATTATCATTATAAGAACCTCAAATGAAAAATAATATTTATAATTGGTTTTATAAATGAATGAATATTTTTTAAAAGTTAATGAGGTTATTAAAACTTTTAATGTGTTTAGATGTAAAAACTTGTTTTTAGTTTTCAGTAAAGGATAAAAGACTTTAACATCTCAAATGCATTATGCTTAATGATTGTACTCGTTTTTATTTTTTTGTATTACACTATACCCCATGGCTTTAATTTTAATGTTATTAAATATTTCCATTTCAGAAGCTGAGAAGATTAGGATAGAATTAGAACTACTAAAAATAATTTCCTTATAGTTATTAGAGTCGCTTTCATTGTAGGAAACATTTTAAGCAATATGAGAGCTTTAAAATGGTTTCATGCAGTGACTATGATAGAATGCTATTTAAACCTATTAAAGTCAAGCTATGCTACTTAATTCTTCTTTAATATTTTTTACTTTTTTACGCGGATTAATATTAACAACATTTAAGATTTGGTTATATTTTAATAATATTCAAATATAATCTTTTTTTATTATATTTGTTAAAATAAATTATATATTAAATATATAAAGAAAACTTTAAAATAAATATACAAGCAATTATTATTTCACTTTTATTCATAGAGTTTCCAATGTATAATTAAACGATTTTTATTCAAATACAAAATAACCAGAAATATCCCATTGATATACAAATAGTTAAATTCCATTACTATTTTCATTAGCAGTAAACAAAAAAAAAAAAGAAGAGATTTTTAAAAACTTCTTTCAATTTATCTCAAAACTCCATATTTAGATATAATAATACTTTCAAGGACGCTAAAACAGTCTCATTATTACAGTTTTTTTTAATTGAATTATTATAAGAATTGAAGTAAATGAAATAAAATCACGTACATAACAGACGGTTACATTACTCTATTTTCAATGGTTATAACGATATATTTACAATTACATTGGAAAGAGTTAGTTTTAATGATCAAATAATTTAACTTCACTTATTTATAAACAGACCAAGTCAACTTATCATAAATAAAAAGAAATAATAGTTTTAATTTTTTTAATTTACGGCTAAAAAATATATTAATTAAAATTTTATAATCAATGCAAATTATATCCAAAGAATTTAAACATCAAATTACAATGTAAGAAAAACTAAACTTTTAAAAATAAAAAACGAAAATTTGATGAGAAGTATAAAGAGTTAAATTTCATGATCTAGTGTATAAAAACTGAGATTTTTCTTTTAATATGTAAATATATATTGTATGCTTTCTTGTTTACTCTTAAAAATTTGTAAAACGTATGATTCTTTTACTAATGAAAACGTAGCTTTCATCAGTAAAATATCTTTTTAGATAACCAACTTTCATATTTCTGACACACCCGAAGTATGATTCACTATTTTCCATAAAACATCATCAAAAACTTAAATACAAGTTTGTATATTGTTTTTAAATGATGTCACGACCCGCATCACATTCAATGACTGATTCCGAAATGTAATAGACACGTACTTGAAAACTGTATTGTAACTTTATTGTTGTTATGCAAATTTACCTTCTTTTTGTAAAATAACCATAACCATAAATACACATGATAGTAACTAGTTGTCCTAGTTACAACTAACTGAATCTAAGTTTTGGCGTGCCAAAAGATTTGTTTGACAATATAAAATGAAAGTTTTAAATAAATTCGACGGTGTCTAGTTTGACTATTACACAGCAAACCGAATCAGTGAAGTTTTATACTTAAATCTTGACTTTTGTGGAATTGAATTATGCTAAGAAAGTTACGGTTCAATACTGAATTCGATATATTAGTCCTGAACGTCTTACAGTAATTCACATTTCATAATTGATGTCTATTCTGGGGATACATTTGCAAAAGTTTAATTAAAAATAAATGCACGCATACATAGCTAAATAATATTTGGCTCATAAACATGCTGTGAAATATGTAAATTTGAGCTCATTATAATTGCGGCTTATGAATTATGAAGGATTTCAGGTGATAAATTAGTCCGGGCTAAACAAAACTATCACTTGAGTGGACAAAACGGGTGCAAATATATGCTTAGAATTCTTAACTAGTATTGATATTTTCTAAGCATTTTGAAACTAAATAGTGACGCGTTAGATTCGTGTCAACAAAACAAAACGTAATGACACGTTGTTTATCACGAACCATAGAAGAACATCAAATTAACAATAAATTACGGTATTTATCAGTCATGAGTTATTTTAACAGTATACAATTTAGAAATTACTTTACAATGTATTATGATTTTGTTTTCTATAGTTGTCTGTATATTTTCTTAGTTTTTTTTTATAACATAAAAAAATAATGGTTCTTGTGAAATCATAACATTTTAAGATTTAAAATAGTAACGTACTTTTACTATTAACGTACTAGTGATATAACAAACCAATATTCTCAATAATGGAAATACTTTTGAGAATGTTTATCTGTAAATTATTGCCTAAGAATATAATCTTTAAAAAAAAATTGAATTATTTCTTTATGAATATTTAATCAAACTAGAATTTTTTTTCGAAATAACGAATATTTATTGAAAATTTATGATGGAAAAATAATTATCTTTTACTTGATTGATAGTCGCATAATACCAATAATATCAAAAATTCTCCAAAAAAATTTGTAGTTTAAAGACCAAAAATATTAACACCCCAAGAAGTTTTAGAGTGTAAATGTAGTTGTCAGATAAAATTCTATATAATTACTGAAAAATTAGATAATTTTACCCTTAAATATAAATTTGACTACATCTAAATACATCTACATCTCTAAAGTGTTTGTAAACACTAAAACGTAAAATTGGTTAATTGATTAATTTTTATTCCAAGTAGACTATTTCCAATAATTAGTTATTTCCAACTTCGTTTAATCGAAATACCTGATGCTAAATAGATAAATTTGGAAATAACCAATTTTATACTTGATGGCCAACTCAGGTCTATTTGCAATAATAAAAAATATAGTAAAAAAATTAAAAAAGTTCATTATCTTCTTTGGAGAATATTCTCAAAAAATATTATTACAGTGATTTTTTATCACTAACTTTGATACGTTAAAGTTCATTAGGGTAATGTGTTACAACTTTTGGCTATATCTTTATGATTTTATATTATTTTTCAAATAAACCACTATAAAATAACTAATATAAATTTAATAATCAATTTTTAATTTATTTGTTAAGTTTAATAGCATTAATTTCCTTTAAGGGCAAAAAACCATATTTGAAGTTTTAGAATTTCTAGGTATTTAACGAAGTAAAAGCGGTTTTTTATTGCGTATTAAATATAAAAATATTAGTGTATAATTCGCTATGATCAAAATCGTCCCTAATATTTTGAACCTTAAGTAGTTGATTTGTTTATCTATACCGAAATTGGATCCTGGTAATACGAATTTAACATAAATTTGAAATATTAGAGGTATTGCTTAAATTACAAATAAACTCTGTTATTAAGGTACGCCTTACATTTTTGTACATTATAAAGGAAAAAATATTAATATTTAACTATGACAAATATCATAATTTATAAAGTTAATACCAATAAGAAATTAAAGTACTCTAATTTCCTTTTTACTTAATTGACAATTCTATTCATAGAACAGTTCTAGAATTTTAAGGAGGGAGTAATCATAAATTGACTAATATAAATTTTAATTTCCGTTAATATTCCTATATGTTACAGGGTATTGAAGTTTTTGCAATCACTCCGAGTAGTTCAGAATAATCCACAGATCAGGGATAAACTAAAACAGTATCGAGAAGCATATATATACGGAATAGAATCGGGTCAAGGCATAGGAGATGAAGAAAATATGGTGAACTCTGTTTGTTCAGAAGTACGTTACCCATGTAGGAGTACTCAAAGGTCTTTGCAAAGAAGTACTAGAATGCTTGTAGATTTTGCTGGATATTGATCCACTCACAATAATATTACAATCCTAACTATTTGTAAATAATGCTATATTTATTATTTATTTATTCGAAGCTAGTGTTTTTTAAAGCACAAAATTTTGTATTAATATGTTGATATTTGCTACTCAATAATATTAAATGAACAATCAAAATATTTATTATTCATTATTTATACAATTGATATAAATTACAAAATTAAATGTTGATCTATTTGATCTTATATGTGTTTGTTTTATTATTAATAAACAAAATATTGAAAGAAAAGACTGTAAAATGTATGTCGATTTCATACATTTGATAATTCTTGAATGTACTTTCATTTACTCCAAATAAGGGTCTTCAGTTAATTTTATTAATTTTCAAACTAAAAATTAACAATTTTAATAATGTCAACTAAAATACGTAACTTATGACTATCAAATTTTCTGTAAATAATTTTAAATTTGTAAATTCAACTAAGTTATATTCATTAGATCAAAACTTATTAAAATCATCAAATCATCGGGTACCATCATGTATATATTTGGTACTTAATATTAAAGTAATGATATGTATTACTACCTTAAATGTATTAATTTAAACAAAAACATACTTTAAAGGAATTATATCTTAAGCCACTTGGTGATATGCCAAATACTTATATTAGAAAGTAGAGCGCCAACTGTCAAAGTCACAATGAAATATAGAAAACAATAGTTCAGCTGTATCGTTTTTGCACCCACAGTTTCCGAAAAATATTTATCTTCAAGAGTCTAATAAAAGGTTTTTACCGTTTAGCTTTGGTATTACTCCACTTAATTATTTACTTAACTATTTCTCACCATATAATATTCAATAACGTCTGTATATTATACATACATAATAATTTCAGTAAATGATTTTTAAATTAGTCTGTTTAAATTATTAATAAGTACTTATACTAATGTTTTAAATTTATTTTTCTCATATTAATAATTCTTTCATACGAAATAGTAGTACGTCTACTAAAATATCTTCTCAGATTACATTTTTCTACAAAGAAACTTAGCACCTTTTATAAATAAGAGAATAATATTACAATTTTGATGAAAAATATGTATTTTGTTAAAAAGTATATAAATAGTGATGTTCTGAATATTTTTGTGTTAAAGTTTTAACATAAATAATTGCTCTTTTCAACAATCAAAATAATATGGAAATATAGAAAAATGATTGCTAAATAAAATTACAATATACATACTTTTCTACATTAATTTACTACAATCGTTTAACACGAAAATACTATTTTATTTAGTGAAAATGATTTCATTTTACACAATTAAAAACTTAAAAATGATAATCTTTTTAAGGATGAAAAATTACAGATTTAATAAATTTAACAAAATAAAATAAATTTTCCTTTTATATGTTTTATTTAAGTTTGAAATGTGAAGAAATATAACTTAAATAAATAAAGTGATAGTTACACATTTTTAATTATAATTATTGTGCTTTCGTTTTCTATAAATTAAAAAAACTATTAATGAGCAGTGATGCGACTCGATGTTTTCTTAATGAAATAATAGTTCACTTTTGTTTTTTAAAATATAACTAATTAAATTTATTATTTTGATTTTTGAGAAGTTTAAATGATAAAATAGCACTGGTAAAAGAAAAATCATTGACAATAAATTACTTGTCACATTGTTCATGATTTTAACCAATTAAATATTACTCCTACTCCATAAAATCTATTGTTTTTGCTCATCGGCTGAAGGAATTCATTGTCATGGTAGCTACCAAACTTTAACCGTCTCAGTTCTTTCTGAAGGTTTAAAGAAGTCATAGAAACAGTGTAAAAATCAGATTTAAAATTTATAAAGAGTCAATTTTTTTCAAATTTACCTCATGTACATCTAAGTCAAGGCGAAAAATCATTTTTTTTTACTTTTCATTTTTTTATTAATTGAAGTCAAGTTTTAATGTGGTGAGTATTTTTATAAATTTAAATGTTAATCAGGATCATTTATGAGATTTTCGATTTTATATTGACATGTGTTTACAATCGAGACGATCCTAATTTAACAAAAAAATTACGAGACTCGGGACCTTATTTCTGCTGCCTCTCTTAAAAACGGCCCTGATGTTATTAAAAATAATATAATATTTTTATTCGAAGTTTAACTATAATTTAATTTTGAATAATTATGGAATTCAAAATGCATTTATTTTTGCTACAATTTTTTATTTAAGAGTTATTATTATTAAGTTTTCAAAATAAATTAACATTTGTATTATTTTTCAGTGTTAATTTAAGAATCGAAAATGATTTCAAGTATTTTACGAGTCTTACTAACATCAGTCCTAGTTAATCTAAGCAAAACAGTTGAAATATCTGAACCTATTGACATTTTTTCGAAAAAATTAAACGATGAAGTTGAATCGTTATCAGAATCTAATGAACCACAAAGTCGAAAATATACATCTAATGATTACAATGTGTATTCAACGCTACCGTCTAATTTGAATGTAGAGACTTCTACAACAGCAAGTGTTAAGTCATATCCATCGTTGACTACTAACTCGCCGGTGTTTGTTCCTCGCAGTCGATACATAAGAACTCCGTACTATCATAATAACAACAATCAAGAAATAAGTCTGAATGACGAACACCCTAGTGGCACATTAGTGAATCCTGGATCACCTAAATACAATCAGTAAAAAACTAGTCTATTTAAAATTTACATCGAATCGAATTTGAATTCAATTTTTATCATTGAGGTTTAGACAATTTAATAATTAAGTAACAAATTTCATAATAATAAATTTATGTTAATAAATAATACATTTGAGCATGAATTAATTTCAATATTTCGACTATTTAAACATTTTTTTAAAAATGACAATGGTATTATAAATAATAATTTTTTTAATCATTGGAATTTTAATAAAAAAAATTTTTTTTTTTGTAATTTTTATTTTTTATTTAATAGGTATAACATTAATCATAGACGTCTAAAAAATTATGGTCAATTACCATTGATTGATGCGGACGTAAATGACGAAGAAGATCCTATAAGTTATGGAAATACGTATGATTATGGAAGCAGTCCTTTGTATGAAAATATTAGAAATCCCGAAGGATGGACTAACGTTGAAAACATGGCTGGGTGGTACAACGAACCTTATCGTCACCCGTATCGACCAATGCCTATGGTAGCCGAGATTCAAAAACCCAGTCCGAAAATGAGTTTTGATTTTGGAAAAATCGGTATGATTGCTTTGGCAAAAATTGGAATAACAAAACTTAAAGCATTGGGTTTCATAAAAGCGTTATTTCTTATACTATTAAAATTGAAATTTATTCTAGTACTGTTGTTAGTTAAATTTATAGTGTTAGTTAAAATGATGAAGCTTTTGAAAATACTTCTACTACCATTACTCTTACCATTACTGTTACCACTATTGCTACCTTTACTCTTTCCATTACTATTTTCACGACTTTTCCGTTTATTAACGCTTTTATCACAGCCAGTATTAGTTCCTAATTCTTACAACAGTACATCTTCTTCTTCAACTGAGAGGAAAAGAAGTCATTCACTTACATTTTTGGATTCCAATTTAACTGAATTTGAAAAAGTCATAGAATCAGAGAAATGTATTGAACGAATTGCTTGCAGTATGGCAGGAACGAATTCTAGTTTTTTGTCTTCGTGGGTTAATTGGTAAGTATATTTACTAATCTATTAGATATATTTAAATAAGCTGAATATTAATGAATTAGATTATATCGTAATTAAACATGTAATCGTAGTATAAATTTAGTTTTTATTTATTTACATATATAAGTATTCATTGAATGAGATATAAATCTATAAAATAGATTATTATTTTAGGTTACTTATTAATGTGTCAAAGTATATTCCTAACAAAAATTTGGAAACATATGTAACAACATTCAAAGAAGTAACGGATCATCGTTTACAACATCATTTTGACGATGATCTAAAACCAGATTACTGGTCAAAATGGTGTTTGGATCAATATGATTGTGCAGAAAGTAATGAGGCAACCAATAAACTGGATCCATCAAATAATAACTATATTATTCATTAATAAACATTTTTATTGTTGATGAATTAAAATTATTATTTATTATTATATTTTTAAATATTAGACATGTAATTATATATTTAATAATAAAAATATATTATTATTATTATAATTTTTTAAATATTTATTAAATTTTTATAAAAGTTATTTTACGTTTAACTACTATATGTTGTATGTAATTATTTTATTTTTATAATCTCCGTTTAAAATGCTACAATTAATTATTTAAAATTATGTTTTGAATCTATATATTAATAAAATTTTGATTAAAAGATTATACATATTTTTAATTGTTAGATTTTTGAAATTATTATTTTTTAGTGGTTAAAATAGGATGTTTTTATTTATAAATAGGACTTTACTTCAATTTCTACTTATTTGTACTATATTTTCATGTACAAACTAAAAGTAATGAAAATTTAATGGAATGACTTCCATTAGCCCAAACATTACTGATTTACTGTAATTGATATTTTATATTAAATGATCACTTAATCTTTCTTTGACCCTACTTAAATTATGCACTTAACTTTGGTGGATGAGACTTAAAAATTTCCAAAGTCCGGAAAAAGGAACACCCTATTACTTAAGGATTTTTTATAACTTTAAAATCACATTATGCTGAAACTGACATTTCCAAATCAATGAGTGATTATTAAATCATTCGGAATCCAGTTCTAATAAATCTATCTTTAAAATTAGAAATTGGTCAGAATGTCTATATTGAGTTGATTGCAAATATCTAAATGAACGTGTTTGTCTCTGTCAATGAAAAGTTATTTGATATTGAACATTCGCAAAGAGACGTCGAATCTATTGAAAAAAGTAAGAATTTAATCAAAGATAAAGTTGATCAAGCTTTTATGATAGCTAAATTCAAACGTATTATAAAAAAAATTATTTTCCAAATTAAAAATTTGATTTCTTACTATACTATACTATGAAGACATTAAAGTTGTTGCAAAAACTAAGCTATGCATCAAACATCGGTTTGTTAAAGTCACTCTTTGGCAAACTTCTAAGGTAATAGCAAAAGATGGCTTTCAAACTAATAACGATTAACGATTGTTAATAATTTTAAAAAATAGACTAACTAAAAAATATTAGTTGGAAAAAATTATAACAATGTTTTAAAAACTGTAATATATTTTCATAAAGTAAGTTTCAAAAACGTTATATTATTTTATAAAAGGTGTTATTATGGTAAGAATTTTTAAGAAATAAAGGAATTATGATTCCTTTCAACAATGAAATTCAGACTTAGTTAGCAGCAAGGATTCAATTAGAGTTTTTATAAATCCAGAGAGGTCTACGATGTTTTGACATATTTAATAACTTTTGATCTAGTGTTACTTTTTTAAAAATATTTTTTACAGTTATGGACTATATTAAAAGCATTTTTTTCTTATTCGTTCCTAATTAGAAAATAAATAAAAATAATTTTCTTAAATTTTTTAAAAATATCCATTTTATAGCCTTTTCCTTAAAAAAATTATTGATGAGATTAATAATTTATTGTGTTATGAGTACTTTAATACATAAAGTGGATATACTACGTGGGGAGTAGAGCTTATCTTAGTATGGGTAACTACGCTCGTGTTACATACTACTATATGTATTGAAATGGTTGTAACTCAATGAGTACTTATCGTAAAGTTATTTTCAACCCATGAAAATTTTTGTTAAAAAATGACTATTTTGAAATTTCAAAAAAATTTAAATTGTTATAAATTAAAAGTTAATAGCTTGCGAATAATATTATTTAAAATTATATTATAATATTAATTTAAAAGTAAAAAATATGAGAAAAAAAACTCAACATTAAATTATGCAACAACACTTTGTGTTTAGAATTGATAATGGTAACATGGTTCCTGAAATACGTATCCACGAATTTTTGGTTTTTTTTCATGTTTTTTGAGTTAAATATTATTAATATTTATTCATTTATAATATTTAAGTTTTAAATTAATATTTTTAATATAATTTTAACTTCAAATAAAAAAAGTTTTTTTTGTTTATTTCTTATTAAAAAAAAAAATATGCTTATAAGATGGCCCAAAATTATTAAAAAAAAAAAAATGTTCTTTTTTGTTGATTATTGAAATCAAGTGATTTAAATTCGAGTTTGAATTGGTTAATCTTAAAATATTAACTTTTATACTTGGATAACAAATGTTTTCTGTATAAATTATATTTTTAATATTGACTAAAATATTTATGAAAATTAATCTTTTTTTATCAATATTGAACAAAAGTATCAAGTATCGTTGCAATATTTCAGCTATAATAGTGACTCAATTGATTATAAACAAATTATTAATAAAGTAAAATTAAAACTATATTAAAAATATTATTAATTTAAAAAAACTAAAAAATATTAAACTCAAAGCGACAAAAAATTAATGAAAAGTCGCGGATACGTATTTCGGAAACAATGTTACCATTATCAACGCTAAACACATACTGACAGTATGTATATAGTATTAATATAGTTGAATGGTTTTATTAATAAAAATATAATTTCATCATAACAAATATATTAAAACATCCAAAAAATGTTCGATAAGAATTGCATGAATGTTCTTAAAATGTCAACATTATTAAATTGTCATTAATCTTTTTTTGTCGATCTACGATAGCTCAGTTACATTAAGTTTGTATTTTTATAATCTTTGGGTGTATTTCAATTTAGGAAGTTTATATTTAAACACAAAGGAATCTTATGTGGCTTTATTAATCGTACACCAAACGCTTATTAGCTTTAACTGTTAAAATTGTTTGTTTTCTTTGGTTAATAGACAAAAGTTTTCGAATACCCAAAGTCACATCACCAAATAAAACGTGTCACAGTGAATTGATAAAAGTACAAAGTAACTTTGTACTTTTATCAATTAATTTTGATACGTCTTGTAAATGTACAACTCGAACTAGGTATTGAAAATCTTGTCAAAAACTGAGTATGTGATAGTTATCAATTATTGTTCAGTCTTTGTGTAAAATGTCATCAATACTTGACAAATAGCACCAAGACTAACGCCAATAGTTGCCTAGGAAATACGTGTTAACAAATAGTATTGTTAAAAATGACGTGCTTCTAACTGTAGAGGAGAACATCCCGTCTCCAATTATTATTAAGATTGTCTTTTGGACATTCTTACCAATTAACCGTTTCTCCCCCGCTGTAGCGGTGGTAATGAATAGCACTCTGTTTATTTCTATCGTTTGATACTACTAAAATTAGAGGCCACAGTTCGCTTCGATAAAACGCTAACGACGGATTTGCATTGTGGAAAATTTAAGCTTAAATATTTTTATTAGTGTAGTTGTGTTTTTTTTTAACAACCAACGCTATTCAGTTATATAATTGCTTGCAATGGTAAGAGTGCTCATAAATAGATAAACTTACCTTTAGTCAAATTTAAAATAAGGTAATATAGTGAAGTTAACGATTCTATTTTAAATTTAAAAACTATTCAACGTGTGATAATGATGCTTTTACTCATATTGTGTTATTATTGATATTGTAAAAACAATCGAGGCTGACCAAGTGAACAATTTTTTTAATTAATTGATGTACTTATAAGTGTTTAATTTTTACGTAAATAAATAAATCTTGGCGATTTATCTTAATGCTCCAAGTTTATATTCTTTAATGTCAAGTTAAATATCAATCTATACGCATTAAAATTTTCATCAAATTATAAATTTGAAAAAAATTAATGAAGGCAAATTTAACTGTTTAAATTTATTAATTTGAAAAAATTATTTAAAAATATTTTTATGAACAATTTTACTAAAGTAGAAATATTTAAAATTTACATAATTTTTAGTATATTATGCATTTTTATCAGTGTATTGATATGAGTTACTAAAATTTTGATCAATAAATAGAAGTGGGACTATTTCAACTATTCAAAACAGCAACAACTCAAAACATTTAGATTTCGAGTTTTGATTTCTATGTTGTAGATCATTATTCAACATTTAAAGTTTATAAATCCAATTCAAACTAGCTAAGCTATTTTCCAGAAAAAAACGTTTTTAAAGTTATATTTTACATAAGAGGTAAATTGGATGATATTTTTTAATAATTATACTAAAAAATGAATTTTTTGAGTTATTGCAGTTTTAAAATAGGGTGTTGATTTGATATCACAAATTAAATTTAACATTTTAAATTATTTTCTTGATATTTTTACTTCAAATTTAAAAAAATTAAAATAAATAATAATGAAGTTTACAGCAAACATTTTTGTCCAAAACAACAATCATTAATTATGAATTTAATTTATAAAACATTTTTACACTGTCATATAAAAGAGGATTATTAGAATAGACTTTATAAAATTATTAACTAATATGATTAAATTATATTGATAATATTGCTGTATTTTATAAATTATGGACAATAAAAGTAAAAACTTTTTCTTAAAATGAAAAAGTTTTTAATGCACATATGAGTTTTTAATTTTTACGTAAATAAATAATTCTTAGTGAATTATGAACAAAAAACAATATTCATAGAAATATGTTGAATTATATAACACTATACAGATTTAATTTTTGATAACATAAAAATTTATTTTAAAGAATCCCTAAGTTAAAATAAAATTGAAATTTTCATATGATTTTCAACAAATTTTAAAAATCTCAATTGAACTTTTTTTATTATAAAACAGCATAGTGTCAACATTTTTAATATTTTTTAGTAAAAATCAATTATTTTGGAATTTTATGCATAATTTAACGATCATTTACTTTTTATGAATTAATTAAAATTTTGCTATTTAGGTTTTACTGAAACATTAATACGTAAAAAAATAGGAATTTTCTAAGCAATTTTTTTTATAAAGAAATATTTTTATGGTCATCTTTCAAATGATAACATGTGGGGTCACCCCCTCAACATTTATTAAAGTCATTTGGGGTTAGTATTTTTAGAATAAATTGTAGATTTTGTTGGCAATAATTTAGTTCGCTAAATTCACTCCACAACCCGCTAAAAATTATCTCTAGGTTCGTCTCAGCTATATTACCATGATATGTTTTGTAATGATAATCATACCTAAATGACCTTAATGATTATCAACCTTTTTTATTTTCAAACTCAATTTCATATCTTTAAATTTTAGAGTATTTGTTTTATATATTTATACTTAAACATAATACTATTTTATTTTATATAAATAATTATATTTATATAACTTTTATTTATTTTTATTTGTATATAAATAATCTTTAATAACATTTCTTTCTTTAAACTTTTAATTAGGAATTATTAAAATTACTAATAGTTGAAGTAATTTATAATATATACTTATTTCCGAAAGTTATTCAATTAAATAAATGTATTTTCGGTTTTTATTGATTCACATACGTCATGTCCACTTGATTATTAACACTTTCTAAAAAAAAAAAAACCATTGTTTATTAAAATTGACTTGAATATGTCATTTTAAATCACAAACGATTTATAAGTACTAATAGTTTCATTAATTAAAACTGAAATTGTTGATTTTGAATTTACATATTAATATAAAAGACTAATTATCATTAGTTTTTTTTAAATATGTATTTATAAAATCTTATATAAGTTTTATTATGTTAATTTTTTTTATAACTTTTAAATATGTGAAAAAAACTTATTGAAATAAAAATTTTAGAAAAAATTTTTAGTTTTTCCGGATATATTGAAAATATTATTCTGTAACTTGATTAAAAAATAATTTCAATGAACCTTATACATGTTCTAAAACCATTAGAATTTTTTTTTAAGTATTAAAAAAAAAGTGAAAATGACTTTTTTTAGAAAGCGCCTTGAGTTTTTTAATTTAACTACTGAACAATTATATATTTGGTACTAAATTATCGTTTCAATTTTAATTATAAATTTTATATGAAAATTCTGCTAAATTTATATAAAATACAAGTTAATAATAAAAAAAGACATTTGATAGTGAATTCGTACTACATCAAGCACTTAAGAGTATTATTATTACATCAGACAACTCCATTAAAGAAAACTAATAGAAACGTGACATTTGGTCACTGTATTATGGACAATAATAATCATAAAAATTATAAAAGTCGTTTATAATATTTATTAGAACTGAAATACTTTATAATATAGTTGTTTTGATTTTCACCGGTTGTCAACGTCAAAATAATTGAACAACTTCTATAACTAAATAATAATACTTTTGTATACATATCTTGAAGAGATACTATTGGGAACAGAAACCTTAAAATGTAATAATAATAATTATCTTTAATGTAACATCTCTTGTTTTATTATTGTATTCTTGAAATTAATTTTAAATCAAGTTAACTATAATTAATTCTATATAGTAGTCAAAATACTTAAGTAATATTCAAGTTTTTTATTTTAAAACATACGAAAAAAGGAAACTGTATAGTATTATCTTTAAATGAAACTATCATAATTATAGATTAAACTGTCAATATAATTAGGTTAAATAATTAATTAGTTTTAAGTTTTATATAGACTTTATATTTTTCAGTCTTGATAACTATTTGGACTTGAGTGACACGATGATAATATCTAAGCTTCTGGCAATTGCAATAATCACGTTGTTAATTTTTCTATCACTTATTCACTCCGAGCTGAGTTCGAAAAGATCATTAATGCTTTCTAATGTTTATTATTCAACTGAAAAATCACAGGAACTCTTTAATAACGCTTCAGACAACAATGCATTACATGAAAAAGTATCTTTGGAATTATTAGAAGCCGCAAAAGTACAAGTTTCAAATGTTGATGTTGATTCTAGTACACAGTCTAATAATTTTTTGGATTTGAATTTAAGAAATGAACCAAACAACAAAATGGAAAAAATAAATAATAGCCAAAAATCATTTGAAGATTTAAATGGCTTATTGAAAACGTATAAAAATAAATCAAAAACATTTGATGGATTGTTTCATCATAAATTATTTCAAGATGCTTCACTCGAATCTCCTTTATCCAGTATTAATTCCTCATTGATTGTTGATCGTGATAAATTGAAAAGAAGTATACACCGTAATAGAATTGATCAAAATTCAATGAATATCAAAAGACCAGATAGCGAAGTCATTTTAGATGCTAGCGTATACAAATTCAACAGGTATTACAGTTTTATTATTAATCTTACACTATTAGAATCATTGAAAAACAGCGTCTATGATGATTCCGTACACTAACTGGATCATTTCATAATTTTTTATTTTTTTTATAGACAGCCGAACAGACTTTTAAACAAATATAATGAACCCATGGTTGAATCCGATTTAAATTCTCCAGGCGAAGATATTCAAGTCGGTTATGATAAAAATTATTTTACCGATCAAGAGGTAAATTATGATGACGACCATGGTGGGAATGGATATGGTTATGGTATTCACAGGCATACTGGTCGCTATGGAGGAAACGGAATGTCCAATGGTGAAAATCACGGTGGATGGTATAATGATCGTATAATACGATACAGTCATCCTGCGCCCATCATAGCAGAAATTCACAGACCACAAAAATCGTCGATTGATTGGAATAAAATTGGAATACTAGCTCTGCTAAAAATTAGTCTTGTTAAGTTTAAAATTTTTGCATTCTTGAAAATCGTGTTTCTGATGTTACTCAAACTTAAAATAGTATTGATACCGATATTTTTTAAATTTCTTTTGTTGTTAAAATTCTTAAAACTACTTAAACTTCTTTTAATACCTTTCATTATTTTAATATTATTACCTTTATTGTTACCACTTCTTTTGCCTTTACTTTTACCGCTAATACTTGGACCTTTAATGAGGCTAATATCGCTTTTTACGGAACCAGTATTGATTCCTAACAGTGTAAATGGCACATCACCACTCAGCTTAACAAGAAGCCAATTTGAACCTTATCAAATTTTGGATCCAGGAACGGTAGTATTTCGTAATATCATCCAGTCAGAAAAATGCGTCGAAAGAATCGCTTGTAAAGTAGCTGTTGTTGAAAAATCAGGCATTATGTCGACATGGATAAATTGGTAAGTCATATAACAGTTGTCATTTTTTGTTATTTTAATGGTACTCTCGATAAATATTTATGTCTTACACTATTATCGCCATTTCTATATAATCTTATATCACTAAATGAATAATCGCGACTATCTAGTTAAACTAAATAATTTATTACTATCGGTACCCTCACAATGAGCTTAAAGATTTATACTACCTTTATGTTATAGAAATGGCCAATTCCGGATTAAATTGAATAAATAGATAAAATAACAATATTTCTAAATTTATCATTATTAAAATTATTGTACATTATAATTTTATCTTTATTTTAGGGTACTACGCCGAATATCAAAATATATTTCTAATAAAGCTCTTAATACCTATCTATCGACATACGAAGAAGTAAATAATTATCTAAGCAAGAAATTACCAGTTCCAGACGATTGGTCACAATGGTGTATTGAAAACTACAATTGCAATTCCAATGATGACGATTTGAATATAATTAAATAAACTGAACTTTTGTGTGATAAAATATTTTTAACAACTATTAATTAGTTGATCAGCAATAATATTACCATAAATTGTTTTTACATTTTGTACAGTAAATTGAATGGGGAAAATATTTTTATTGGTACTTGAGTACAACATTTCTGTAAAAACAGTTTATTTAGCTTATGTGTGTTTATTAGATAACTAATTTTTATTTAACAGAATGGTAGATAATGATATACTTACACGTCTTGATTTTGAGCACCATATATATTTAAATGTAAGTTAGGAAATGTTTCTTTTGCTGTAGATGTAAAGTTTTCAGACTGGCCATGTAACGTAACTATAGTAATTGGTTCTGATAGAAAAATTTCATTCTTATTTATATGTCGTGCTAAGGGTTTTATAGAAGAATGATCTTTACTTTGTATCCTATAAAAGAAGTATTTAATAAAAATGTTACTTGCGATTTTAAATTATATGTAAAAGAATAATAAATTTATTATATAATTGTACTTTTGTTGATGAAAAGACTTAGAATTATTTGTAAATACTTTTAAATTTGTATTTTCAGTGCTATTGTTTATAACTTTCAATAAATGTGTTTCTTTGTCCACAATCTAGAATAAATTAACGATACTATAATTAACAATATTTCTGTAAGGTAATGGCATAGCCTAGGTTTTTTTTATGGATTACTAAAACTTTTTTTTTTATTTTATCACATTTTGGATAATACTAGCGCTAAATTCATATACTATTTATAGTAATAATTGCCTATGTTATAATTCATTAAGTCCCTTTAGCTGCACCAATGTTATAAAATGTATATAAAGAACTTCTTAATGTTGTACTTTTGTATTGCAATAAGTTTATTTAAAATGTGTTTAATACCCCTAAATTAGAGTTAGCTGACACTTCCATTTTAGTTTCTAATGATTTCTCTAGATCTTTCATATCATTTAAGGAAAAAACATGAACTTTTTCATGTTTCCATTTTGCAATAGCCTCTTTTTTTTTATTTTTTAATTCGTCATATTTAGCGTACCATTTTTCGTGATCACTGGCTGCAATTTCTGTTATATCTAAATTGTATAAAATTACATGTTATAGTTTTATGACAAATTAAATTATCTTAAATTTATTTAAGTAATACGTGGCATTGCTTGAATGATAAGTTGTACAAAATTTGTATCAGTTCCATGCTTAGATCTAATTTTTAAAAACATTTCATGATCTTTAATTGACCATCCGCCAGTTGTACCATTTTTTGCGCAAAAATCGCTAAATTCAGCAATTTCCTAGAAAAATTAAAAATAATATTTAAGTTTTTTAAATGATTTATATTTAAATGTGAGTACTTTTGTAGCATATGTGTTTTTAGAAATAGGAGTTCTATTTTTACACATCGGTTCTTTTTTTCTTTTGTCAATAAACTCGAACGGTTTTATCTGTGGGTCTTGAACGGCTAATGTTTTAACGCGTTGTATCTCTTCAAACAAAGCGAATTGCTTTCTATTTTCATCTCGAATTCTGGAAAATAAATATCAGCTCAAAGTATTTTTTATCTTAATCAACACGCTTACTGTTTTGCGCTTCCTTCTTTTAGTTTCATTAATTTAGATTCAAACATTTTAACGTCCTTTCGAAATTTTTCTAGACCTAATAAAAAATAACGACATTTCATTAATTTAATTTTCAAGAGTTACATATTATATTACGATAAATTTTTATGCAATATTTTCAGACTTTGGACAAAACAACTCTATTAATTAGTATATTCTAGAGTTTATTCGATTTATTCAAAAAGTACTACCAATAATAATGTAATAACAGAAAAATAATAAAAAAAATGATTAAACCCCTCTTTATCCACAACTATTAATAGAGTATTCGTGTTTTTAAAGTAGATAAAGTTTTATTCATAGGCATACCTATATTTTTTACTTTGTTAATATCTGAAGCAGTCTTCTTTAAGTAAGCTAATTTGTATCTTAAATCTTGTATTAAGCTAGCCATTTGATTTAAATCAGAATGTCTGTAAATACAATTAATAGAAGTAACAATTAAGAAGTAACAAAATATTTGTACTATTTAATCATTAAAAAATATGTAATCTTAGACGGAGTTATAACAAAAAAATTGAGAGGGCTAAAGTAAATTTTTCGTGTCTAAAAAATATTTTTATATTATATTACATATAACATTTCTAAAATTTTAGAGGAGCTAATTTTATTTTTGGGTGAACTTAGTCCTTTCAGTCTTTCCTTAAACTCCGTCAATCTTCGTGATAAAGTGTAATTAAGTATATAAAAATATCCTCTGCAATTAAAGTGAATTTTTATTTGTATGTTATACTATACCTAATAGCATCTAGTTCATGTTTATACTTTAACAAGTCCCTGCATTCAGGAAGAATATTATGTTTTAAATGATTCTTGAGAATTTGCATGTGTGCCGCTTCCATTGCATGATTATCAGACCAAGACATTTTCGGGTTGATATATAAAAGCAAATCTAAAATATTTTAGTCAATAGCACAAAAGACTACCATTTTATTAAATATTGTGATACATATGAGTACTACCATTTCCGCTATGTGTGGTGTATTAACTGTTCAAAGAACCGTTGTCGACCGGAAGATGATATATTTTTATGCCAATGTACACACCTGCTGTCCTGCCAGTTGCTGGGTAACATTCAAGCATTTCAAAACATATTCTTTTTTATAACGAATATCATTTCTATAAGCTGTTGTCTATGTTATTGAAAAACATTTAAGTAGAATATCAACTTCGTATGCAACTCCAATTTTATTGTTGTGTAGCTTTTATTTTGAAAACCTTTTGACACGACAAAAAAAGTTATTTGGTTCATAAATTACTCGTTCCTACAATAGAAACAAACTAATATCTCTTATTAAAACTTTGTAAAATTGCTTTTGACTTATATGTAAATCAACACATTTTTAACATAATTGGTTTGAATTTAACATTCTCTATTAAATAAAACAAAAAATTTGTTAATTATTTCTCCAAAAATTATATAACATACAATGCTATCTATATTTTAAATTATAAAATATGGTCCTCTTAATGAAAAGCTGATTTTAATAATAATTATTATAACACATACTAATAATTTTATTATCAACGATCACATATTTTAAAGAATTTATTTTTTATAAGTATGTACAATAAGAGTAGATATTTATACTTTAACTACATAGAATAGTGAAACCATACAGTAATATAATATCCTATGGTAAAACATTATAGCAGTGACATCTAGTAGATAAATATTTGTCTCTGTTTTTGGTTTACTGATCATTGGTATGGAGTGCATCACAGTTTAGAATAGTTGTTAGATAAGTACATGTGAACAGTGAATTGATATCAACCACCTGCAACCGTTAAATATGCAATGTAAATAAATGTAGTCAAAGTAAGTTTCTATTTATTTTAAAAAATATAGAAGATTCTTATCGCGACATAAATTAAGTTAACGTAATTCTGTAAGTTATAATTTTTAAAAATGTCTATTTCATTAAATTTAAATTGATTCAGAAGCTTTTATCTGTTTGCTGTCAATTATGTAAGATAATAATTAATTTAGTTAAATTTTTGTTCAAAATTAAATGATTAAATAATTTGAATTTTAAATATAATAAAAAAAATTTTAATCATTTTTTGTTCTATAATATTAGTTTGTGACATAACTAATAATTTTTTTAACTGAAATATTAATTCTAAAATTAAGCGTTATTATACATAAATAGTCAAACAAACTACTTATTTATAGTCTAAAATATTTTTTATTCTTTTATATAGAATAAATATAATGGCAAAATATGGTGCTGCAGTTGATTCATTTTCTCATATGTTGATAGCAATAAATGATCAAAATGGCATTAAGTACTTGCCTTATCGAGTGGCATTTAAGTTAAATGTTTTACAAAATCATACACACCGTAAGTGAAAATCTTTAAATATTCTGTTTTCGGTTAACTTTTTTTTTATTCCATTATTTTATTCTAGGTATATTTTATTAATTTATTCACTACTAACATTATCAGCAATGTTAAAATAATTTTAGGTTAAACATTCATTATTGTTAAAGTTAAAATATATAGTATCAATTTTCTTTTTCACATTAATTATATTTGTTTAATAACGCTTGGTATAACCTCAGTATATATTACTAAGGTTAAAAATTATTTTTTAAAAAAAATTGTTTTCTTATTAAATATGTTTAGTTGTTTGTTAAATTTTTTCATTAGAAAATAGGTAAGAAAAACAATTAATATGATACCAAAAATACTTACTTTATCTGACATATATCAATTATAAAAAAAATAATTACATTAAGAAAAAATATACATATAAATAAACATATTTTAATTTATGCCTAAGTTAAATATAATTATATAAATTACAAGCAATATAAAATGCATTATTAGTAACATTTTCCAAAAGGGTTTTAATGGTTTAATTGGCACATTATGCAAACAAATACGATTGTCTACAGAAATTGACAATACTGATGCATTCATTTCTGGCATTAAGTCCTTGCTTAAAAATTCTAATCCGGTAACAAACATAGCATGTGCTTGTTTTACATTATAAATCAACTTTAGGTTATGTGCTTCATGGATGCTCACTGTACCTGAAAACATTGTACCTACTGCAATGTAAAATCCATCTTCACGCACTGCTAGAGCTGATGTTGGTTCAGAATATTGAAATTCATAAAGAAGTTTATTTTCATTAGACCATCTTTGGAGATATGATTTTTGATTAGCTCTATTAGCTATAGTATAAATGTTAAACAATTGCTTATTTATAATTCCAAATTTACACCTTTTAAATGTTTGCTTTATATTATTTGGGTGAACAAGACTAGTTTTTGCATTATTGCTTGTATTCCAATGGAATGCATTTCCATCTTTTGCAACACTCACTATGAACATACTATTAGCACTTATATCAATATCATCTATTTCTTTTGTATGACCTTTGTACTCTTTTAAAGGTTTCATATCACTTGTTTCTTTTAATGGAAATTCCCAAAGACGAATACAACCATCAGCACCACCCGTAACCATCAAATTTCCTGTTAAATTGACTTTAACTATTCTTTGTAATGATTCTTCATCATGAAAATCAGTTACTAAAGAAGATTCAGTACTAATTTTAAATTTTAGCTCTTTAGAAGCTTTTCCATTATTAAATGTTGGTTCTATAATTACTTGAGCTAGATATTGGCGGCATTTTTCATTTTCATTGGCAGCAATATATACACTGTTACCATGAGTGAATGTGTAACTGTTCATAATGACATGTGGACCACTATCTTGATTAATAACTTTTGTCATGGTAACAGATTTACCAGATTTACTTATTTTATAAATTTCAAATCCATTAGTAATTCCTGTTTTACTAGAACCACCTCCACCAGCTACAATTATGTAACTTTTAAAAAATGTTTGAATGGAATACATTGGTAAATTTGTAGTAGTTAAAACTAAATTTTTGTTGGTCATTTTTTAAATTCTAAAATAACTATGTACCAATATCTATAGAATAGTACCATGTACATAATATATTAACTGCTTAACTGTTTTATCAGTAACAAAATTTTGACACGTTATCATAGTAAATATTTATTTTTGATAATACGTGGAGGATTACAATACCATGGTTACTATCTAACAATGGTAAATTCTAATATTATGATCAGTGTGACCTCCATGGCTATTTCAAAAGTATTAGATTAGTTCTTATGAAATATTTTAAATATATTATTTTAGAAAAAAAATTCCTTATTTTATTTTTAAAAATTTAATAAGATTAAAAAAAAGTTAATTAATGTTTTTTTTAATTAGATTAATTTTATTTTTTGATACTATGTTTAATTTTTTATTTTAATTAGAAAAATTATTTAACTATTTTGTAGCTGAATTATAATTTTTTTTTTTTAATGAACTTATTTATTAAAAAATATTGCAATTATATTACAGTTGATCAAGTACCATTATATGTTTTAAATGGTGTATATGAACAACATAAAGGAAAGGATCATATCCTTATAAATAAAATTATATTAGAAGATATTGTATCAGATATATTTTTTGCAATAAAGAAACAAAATCCTAATCTGGATATTAATGAAGAATTGTCTTCTCGAGTTTTGGTGAAAACGATTATGGAAATATTTTCAAAGTAAGGATTAATTTATTTGAAAATTGATTGTGTTTTTAAAATAATAAATTTACAGGTATACTACAAACAAAATAAACTTAAAATCTGCCATGACAATCATAACTTGTTTACTTTGTGATCGTTTACGTTTAAGATTAGGTTATATGTTCCAACTGAACTGTGATAATGTGACTGGTTTTACAAAATCTTGCATGAAAAATTTATTAAGAGATCTTAGCTTACTGCTAAATTTTTTATCTGAAAAAAGTGTTTTTGAGACTACTTCCATTGATTCTGCTATAGATTCATGTTTCAAAAAGGTATTTATCAAAAAAAGTTTTACTAATTTATGACTTTATGAAGGATTTCAAATTAGCGTCCAAACTAAATTATTATCATTTTTAATAGTTTCAAAATCCTAAATTTATTGATGAAACTCAATTTATGCAATGGTTTATGACAGAACCACCTGTGTTAGAGTGGCTACAAATATTTTACAGAATTAAAGTGGCAGAAAATGGTATATATTTAATATAAATATTTTTTAGTATAGTACAACTAATAAGTTGTCATTTTTTTATAGTTTTTCATGATGTAAATTGTAAAATATGTAAGTTGCCTATCAAAGGACTTAGGTATTTTTGTTTGAACTGTGTTAACTATAATCAGTGTCAAAAATGTTTTTTGATGGGTTCCACTAACAAAAAACATAAATTGAAACATGCTATGCAAGAATATTGTTGGCTGGTTTGTATCTAAATAATTTTTAATTTATTTTAATAAATAAATGTGTAAATTTTTTTTTTTTTTTTTAGGAAACACCACAACAAATGTATACACAATATGTTAAATCATTCTTGGGAAGAATATTTGGCTTAACTTCTAATATTAAGTACCTACCTGTTGATGCTCCTTGTGAAATTACAAATATGAATCAAAAGTAATATAGCTAAAATTTAGTAATTTATTTTAAAAAAATTGAATTGTTGTGAGATACTATCTACAACAACTTTATATTTTGATCATAAGGGTTTTATTTTACTCAGTATTTATGATAACTAAAAAATTCTCATGCTATAATGTTACTTAAACTATTTGAAATAAAATAATATACTTCCAAAACTAACTTAGTCACTTAATTATTATTTCTTAGCTTGTCTAATACAAATATTTTGTAATAAACATATTGTGACAGTTTTTATGCAAAGTTAATCATGCCAAATTATGTTATTTTTTTTATTCATTCACTTTACATGGTATTTAGCCATATAATTGATATTCCTCATATTTTATTTTATTTATGCTTAGTCACATTTATATTAAAAAATAATAATTAGTGTTTTTAGTATTCTAAAAAATTATTTTTTTGACGTGATTATCTTCTTATATGAAATAATTATCCACGCTAACAAAAATAGCTTAAATAGATTTATAATTAATTTAAAATTTAGTAAATAGTGTATAATATAATTTGAAAAATTATTATTTCTATTAATATAAATTATTACATATTTTTCATTATTTGTTTTAAATAAGAAAAATAATAAAAAAAAATTATTTTAATTTTTAACTATTTATGACATTTTAAAATTTTTTATGGAAAATTTTAATGGGTGGATACAATTTCAGCATAATATTTATACTCAATATATAATTATTGAACTACAAGCATTTTAATACTTGAGTATGGAACTCAAGTGGAGTATACATAATCCAGTACCAGTTGCACTCACTTGTATTCCACACGTATTTCATAGTATTAAAATGATTATAACTTAATAAGTAGTTGTGCTAAATCTATAATCGACTCATCAAATATTGTTTTGTTTAAATATAGAATAAAATAACAATTTTGAAATTTTGAACATAAAAAAAATATTTTTATTATTTTTCTTATTAGAGACAAGTAATAAAAAATATGCTTTCAACATAGTATAAAACTGTAAAATCTATTTTGAAAAAAAGTATATTTAACATTATTGAATAACTTTAATTAAAGGGTACAAAATATGAACATTTCACTGTTTCGATACATTTAGCATTAAATAATATTTAAAATTATCAAATAAAAAACAAGAAACTATTAAAAAGACAGATTATGATTTTTTATTATTTTATCATCACATATGTTATAGACTATAACATATATGACAAGTTGTAACATATTATATTCTGTACTTGTATTCTAGAGTCAATGATATCCGGAATAAGATGAGATGTTATTTTTTTTAATTATTTATGGAATATGCTTAATAAATAATCATGAGTAGGTTATTATATGATTTTTGCTGTAAATTTATTTTCTTTTGTTTCCATATTTTCTCTGACTTCAATATCTGGTACAGATACTGTGCTACACATTTGTCTGTAGTCTTCAGCTAACCAATTTATTATAATTTTGCTTTTGACCTAAAAAAAATTGAATAATTTATTAAATTTTGGTAGGTTAAATACAGTTGATATTTTATACATATTATTAAGAAGTTTAAAACATTTCATAGTTGGTATAGGAAAATATTTTTGCTTGTTTTTATTTGTTTATGAATCATTTTATCGTTTTAGTAAACTTGTAATCAATTATTACAAAATTATTTACTAGTTTTTTTTTTTTCAATTTTAAATTAAAAACTGAAAAAGTTAATAGTAATCTTCAATGATTCATATAAGTTCATTTTCAACTAGCAGCATTATTATTATTATTATTATATTATTATTATTTTACATCACTATGCTTTCTATGAAAACAGAAATATTGTAACAGTTCTTATAAACTTATTCTAAATTTTGACATATTTGGTGTAATGATTAAAATTTGTTTTATATTTCTTAACTAAATCATTCATGTTAGAAAATATATAGATATCCTAGATCATATATAGGGTGTTTAGAAACTAATTCCTATTGTTCTCATTGTTTGCAACAATTGAACCGTTTCTTTATTTACAGAACACTCTGTATAGGAGGCCTAAGTTCTTATTGAAGATAATAGCCATATTTTATTTTTACAATAAAATATTCAAAATTGTAAATAATTCACTATGTCATGTTTTTAAATTATAAGATATTGTTATCAATAGGATAATTTTTACTGCATGAAAAATAACTATAATAAGATAATACTTCTTTTCTACTAATAATTTTATTGGTTTTCTTACAAACTTTAATTTATTTAAAAAAATATCCCTGATTTTTTAAACAAATAATTATACTGTAAAATGATATTAATTGAACATGTTTAGTAATGTGATTATGAAAAGTTATATAAATCTTTTATCTTATTAAAGAATTTATACTGTCATATAGTATGAGTTAAAATGCCTAAACTACACACAAAACTTCCCTGTCAAAATAAATAGTTAATTTAATTAATGTTAATCAGTTCACTTTTGCAATTGTTTCATATCTATTTTCCTAATTGTATTGTATACGCTACTTGTAATTTAGAAGTACCACAAAATAATTTAAAACATTTGTTTTTAGTATCTAAACAAAAACAGGTCATAAAAATTAATGTCTAGGGTTTATATTATCATCTTACACGTATTAACTATTCCAAATAATTTAGTTTCACAGTGACTGTTATTAAAGATTGACAGATGTAAAAATCTTAAATTTTCAATACATTATAATTTTACATTTTTTTAAGGGCCTAAAATTCTCTTAAAAAATGTTTAAATGATAAAAATTGTATATGTTAGTAAATATTGCACATGTATAAATTGTTTTCAGTTTTAATTTGAATGTTTATCCTCTCTATATGACTAATTAGTCTTCCAGTATCTGTACTTTGCCAAGATATTTTTTGTGCGCAAAATACTGGACTCTTAAGTAAAAATATTTTACAAAACCCTTTTGGCTTTAATCAAATCTTCATCTTAAAAAATTGAAATTTTTTGTCTTTTTAATTACATTTAATAATGTAAAATTAATGTTGGCTACATTATTTAAGATCCTCTAAAAAATCTTGGATATTTTATGAAGTCTACTTTTATAGTTGGATTTAATTTTTTTTTTATATAATATTCAATTAAAATAATTGAGTATATATATATTGTTGTAAATTTGTGCTATATTTTAGGAATACTTACCAATTTTGAATTATTTTCACTGTTAATATATTTATCTATTGCTTGAGTATCTTTTTCGCTATCTATCCAATTAGGTATTACAAAGCTCAATAGTTTTTCTTGAAAATATGTCTGTGAAAAATGTTTTCAATACATATATATTCTTATTTTAATTAAATAATTTTACCATAATTTTAGCTAATGTAATGTATCTTGCGTCCTAGATTTATTATTAGGAATTGCGCAGTTAAAATGGATAAATATTGAAATGTACTTCGACGACTATCTCATTTTTTCTGGTTAAATACTAACTAATGTCGTGTAACTTATTAAGCTCATATCTGTTTTTTTATTGTTTGTTATTAGATAACAATGTTTTGAAGTCAAATGATGTGTCAATTGACGTGATATTCTGAGTTTACTTGAATGATTCAATAATATTTTGATAGAATTACCGACTCTATTAAGTGGAAGAACTTATTCTCCATAAATTAAAAAAATTATATTAATTTTTAGTAGACATCTTTCTAGATAGATAAATTAAGCCCTCTAAAAATTGCAATCATCTTGTACTTATGATTAATATAATTTTAATAGTGAAATATTCTAAGTTAATAAATAAGTATTAATATCATACATTTATTTTTGAAAGGCCGCCTGTGTCCCCCAAATAACGTTTCTGGTTTTTAGGATTATATTAGTAACAGTTNAAAGGCGGCCTGTGTCCCCCAAATAACGTTTCTGGTTTTTAGGATTATATTAGTAACAGTTGCCGCATAATCTATTTTACATTGACAAATCTCAAATATATATTAATAAATTAAGTAGCTAAAATTTTATGTTTTTTTAGTATCACGAAAAATTACAAGGGGTTCAATAACACTTCCTGGATCCCTTTCCGTATGTCTCTAGTTTTGTTAGATATAAGTTATTTTATAAAAATTAAAAAAAAAAAATTATTTTGAGCAATTTTTAGTAATAATTGATGTTTGCTGATGAATGAAGCCATCATTAAATATTTTCTTTTTGGATTTACATGAATTGTAATTTATAATGTTTGTAATAAAAATGTATATCTGTTAGTTGTAATGTATAGATTCCAATCAAATTTATCGGTTTTCATTTTTTTATTTAATAAAAGTGTCGTTATGATATTTAATTTACTGTATATTTTATTTCAGTAGTGTTTGGGATAAAGAATCTTGTACATCAATGGTATCTTCGGCTGTTAAATCGCCACGACAAGAATTGCAAAGTGTAATATCACAAATAGAAAAAGAGAACAGGTAAAATCCGCTTATTAAATTAATAAAAAATCAATATTATTTTCAAAAGTAAAAAAATTGTTACTTGCGCTTTAAAATATGTATAATTTTTATTGTACCAATTAAAACACTTTTTAATTATTCAATAAGAAATTAAAACTTCAGTATCTATCATATAATATTTTACTAAATTAAAAAGTATAGTAAAAAAAAAGTTCTTTGTAGAATGAATTTCATTTTTAATTTGCAGTACAAATAAAATATATATACATGCGTTAAAACATTTTTTTCACAAAATCAAATAATGCGAGAATTTTTTCCAAACTAATGCAAAAACAGTTTATTTTGTTCGTAAGGAAAAGTGAGTTGCACCCCTAAAAAACTTATCGTAAGAAATTTTTGAATAGGATTAAATTTTTATTTGTATAGCAAAAATAGAAATTGCTATTCGAAGTAGATAATTTCATTTTAGGTATGTAATTCAATTCGTATAGTATGAAACATATATATTTATATAAGTAAAAATAATATAATAATATATAGTTTAAATACACCTTGAAAAAAAGATACGTAAATATTTTACAATGAATAAATGTATACTTGATATGTTACATCTTATGTTTAATTAATTACTGTGATTATCATTTACTCTACCCAAATAAAGTACTTTAAGTTAAATTTTATAAATTCTTGTTGATTAGTTTTATAAAAATTATGTAAAATTATTACCTTTAAATTGTATTTAAAGACGTTTTTAGTAAAATGAATTGGTAAAATGTTTCTGTAGGTTGGTAATACTTTTTTTACTGTGAAAATATTTTAGTATGAACCATAGTACTCCATTAATACAAAATTTTTTTGGTAATTGTAATTTTGACTTAATTTTATTTTAATGACAAAATAATTTAGATTTAATTGTTTCTTAAATCGAAATATTTGTTTCGTCATTTTAAGTGATCCGTTTTATACTAAGCAAAAATTCTTATAAAAAAAATAAATCTTGCGTTTATGAACGTAAAATAAATATGTTTTTTCATTTTTCCGTAAAGTTTTCAAGTTAAGTAGCTAATTCTTCGATTAAGATTGTTGATAACAATAAATTTATCCTAGAAAATAGATTCACTCGAAGGAATAAAATGATTTTGGCATTATCTGATTGGTATTATAATTATGTACAATATAATAATAGTAATGTAGACATATATTTTAAAAATCTTAGTTTTTTCATTATTTGAATAATTATTGTTTGCAAGAGTATTCAAAAAATTATTTTATATTATGTAAATAAGTTTTATATTAAACCCAAAACGCTCAACGTGTATACGAATAAAGTACTGTTTTATCTAAAAAAACCCAGTTTAAGATAATAAAAATAAAAATTACTGTCTACTTAAAAATTTAATTGGGAGGATTTGTATACTACGTACAAAAAATTTATGAAAATTGAGTTTTTACTAGTACTTATAATCTAGCACATTAATTATGTACTTATGAATTAATGATGTTTATTTTTATTCCTGAACTTTTATCGCATTGATAATAAAATTACATTTACTAATTTTATGGTACATAATTTTATGAGAAGTTGTTTACTATACCAATTGCTATTTAAATCGTAAAATAAGAATGAATATATTATTTTTCTTATCTGGAAAAAGTAAGATGATAAAATTTATAAAAATCTATTTAAATGTTAAAATCATAATAGTTTGCAACACATTTGTTGTCTTAGTTATTGAAATGAATTTATAAAATTTATAATAAATTTTTTATGGTTAAAAAAAGAAACAACCAATTGCCATTAATTAACAAGATACATCTGATTTCGTAAGAAATGTACAACGAATCATACATTTATACAAAAATATATTTCATGGTCGCATCTAAATAGCTATAACTTTTTAAAAACCTATTTAATTGTTAATAACCGAAACGCAAATAAGAAAAATTTATTAAAATTAAATTTTTTGTGTGTCATATCATTTCATACATATAAATGCAATCTGGAGCACTAGAAGAGGTTTAGCCCCTCCAAAAAAATGTTATGTTAATGTACAAAGTGATGGTACATATTTCCTTTGGATCTTTCCTAAAAAATACAATTGAAATTAAAATCCGTATAAACTATTTCGGTCCATAACCTTGGTTCCAATACTTATCAATTAATTGGTTGAGTATACATAATACATCTAGTTATGCTATTTTTATATTTTTATTTAATACTTTTTTATAAAAGTAAATTTTTCTAGTTGTTAAAAATGTATAAAATATAATAATAAAAATATAATTTACATATAAATTATTTAAATGGATGTGTTAAAGCTTAACATTTAAATTGACATTTAAATGGGTTTTTAAGTTTAAAGTTAAAAAAATTGTTCTTAACATGAATATATACTAGATTAATAGTTTTATATATATTTATTGATTTCTTTATTTTTAAGATAGTTTAGACCTCGTAATGTTTCTTGAATTAAAACAAATAAGTTCTGTTGTTAAGTGCACCCGAACCATTGAAGTTCTTTGCTTTGTGTTTTATTTCAATGCATTATATTGGTATTCAATATTTTGTTTGTGCGATTCTAATTTATTTTTGTATTGTCTGTAAAGGTTACTGGAAATTGAAGTAAATACGCTGAAACGAGGCGACTCTCAATTTGAAGCGTTCTTAAACCAACATAAAAGTAAAATAGAGCGGCAATTAACGCGACTTAAACAACTGAAGGTGAATACTTATTTGATTTATTTATTTTTATTACTATTCAAGACTTTGTTAACACTTATAAAAAAACAATGAAACTTTATATTTAAAGTTTACTTTTTTTTTAGTTTGGTAGTGTTATTGTATATAGAAACTATGATATACTGAATTTTTTACGCAAGAATAATTTTTGAATCTGTTTTATGCTACATTTTATTTAGAACAATTTAAGTGGTACGTTCAGTAGAGGAAAAATGAAACGAATGCAAAGCACTCCTTTAATAATGTCGAGACCTACAGCAGAAACAATTGCAGCAGTCAATCTTAGTCCTATTTTTTCGGATGCAACGGGTCCATCAACGCTAGTCGAACCTTGTTGTGGTCAAAGTGCACTTAGTACGTTTTACGGTGATAAATTGAATGATTTATCCATAAAATCGGAGGTGAACGATTTTTCTCATTGGCTGGGTAATAAAAAGACTGCTAATACATACAATGATCAGCTGTTAAATGGTTCGTACATTGAATCTAATCCGACGGAAGAGAATCAATATCTGGGGAACAAAGAAAATATGGGTGAAAAACCAGATGGCTTCAGGTGTGAAGCATCATCGAGTGACGTGTTGGCAAATATAGCAAATAGACAAAAATGCGACAGTAAAATATCAATTACTGTAAATAAACAATCGTCTATATGGCTTAACAGTTATGGAATCAATGATAGTAAGAATAAAATAGATAACTTAGACGATAAAGACATGGAACAATTGCATTCCGAACTTGACAAAATTTTAGATCAACTACAGAAATTAGTGACGTGATTTCAGCTAAAAATATATTCGTTAGTATGAATCTAAGTATTCCAAATTTAACTAATATTTCCATAGTATTAAATATTTATTTATAATATAATATTATGTGATTTAATTGAATGTAGACTAATATCAAAAATTGATTAATAAGCAAACGCACGGTATAATTTGTAAAAAATTGAAGTCACCAAACTAGCATTTTATATTTATTTAACTATTAAATATATTTTATATAACATTTTGTTTCAATAAATTGTATTCATTTCAAAATTATTGTTTAGGTTTCCATAAGTTGTATTTTGTAAAAAGTTACTATGATAATTAATAATATATTAAATTTAATATTTTCTATAATTAATTTAAGATTTGCCATAATTTATTTGCAATTGAGAGTAATCTTCTAAATAATTTTTTTTTTTTTTTGTTGTACTCAGAATAAGTATTCGAAAAAATATTTCAAAATATGTATTTAAATTTTAATAAAAAAATATATATTTAAAATATATTTTAGAATACTTAAATGTATTAATAGTATTTATATAATAAGAAAAAAGAAACTAAAATGATAATGTAATATAAATATATTTTATATAAAAAAAATTAAGATTAAAATACAGCAAATTTACAAATAATAAAGAGTTATAATTTTCACAAAATTATAGAAATCCTTCAACAACTCTTTTTAAATTTGGTTTGATAGACCAGATATTCGGTGGGTTATAGTTAACGGCATTTAAAGTTATTAAATATAAAATACAAATACAAAACAAAAGTATTCAGAAAAATTGAATAATATATAAATATTTTAAGACTTTTGAATATCATAAAAATACAATAAGAGTATTAAAAATTTTAGAAGACTACTTGAGCGTTTAAAAAGCAAAGAAAATACTCCCACGATATTTAAAAACTATCAGTCACGTTAATGTTAAAATTTTTAAGTAATAACTATAATGATCTTATCGCCTTGTCAAGCTATTACTGTCATTATATAAAACTTTTATATACTAAAATCGTAAGCCCTCTAAATATAAGCTACCTGGAAGAATTTTCGGTTTTCCGGCTCTTAAAATTCGGTTTTTTGTTCGATCGTCGCAATTCCGGTACCGTTCGTTATTTCCTATTTTATACAAATTATAAACTAATGTTTTAATTTTATATACTAATGCAATTGTTTACAAGATTTGTTTATTATAAAAAGCGGATCGGTTTCATAATGTTCTAGAAAAAAAGAATAATGTTCTTCTCTGAATATGAATACAATGTATAATGGAAGTGTTGATTATCTTAAATGAAATTATTAAATAAAAAGACCAGTGCTATGGAAACAAACAGGTAGCCCACTGTTACTTCATTAAGTGATGGGTATATTACGACACATGATTAAAAAAAAATAATAATAAAATATCGTTAATCATAATACTAAGTTATAAAGTGCAAAATTTTTTCTAAAAAACAGATTAAAATCTTTTAAACATTTTAAACAAACAAAAAATTTAATGTTAAATAAACAAAATAATGTTATTAATATAGATAAAATTTTAGTACAAAAAATAATCAGTAAATTAATTTTTTGTTTTACGTAATATTTATTTTAGATTGTATTATTAGTAGTGTATCCTCAATTGAATAAAATTTATTGCAATTGTGGTAAACCCTTCGAATTAGTATTATGTTATTATTCGGGAATTTATATATTACAAAATGAATAAAATATCGTTAATCATAATACTAAGTTATAAAGTGCAAAAATTTTCTAAAAAACAGATTAAAATCTTTTAAACATAATATTAAAAAAAGTACTCATTTGACCACATCAAAAACTGTTTTTGGCAGTAAATTATGTTTTGACCCTGTTTAATGTTAAATATAAAAATGTAGTAACGTTAAATAATAAAATTAAATAGAATTTTACTATTTAAACTTTAAACGTAAAAATTGTATAGCATTAAAATGTGTATAACATAATCAAACGATATAATTATTTTAAATATTAAACAAACATATACATTAAATAAAACCCTAATAGATAAAACAACAATAATATATATTTTTTTATACATTAATCACATATCATACGATTTAGTTCAATATCGTTTAAAAGGGATTAGAATTATTAGAATGCTATAAAAAGTATAATAACTTTTTAACATTATTTATACTAATATTCAAACTTTTATATATGTTATTATTGGATTTTCAAAAAAAAAAATTGTTAAAAAATAATTTATTGTCTAGAATCTAAACTATAAAATGTAACCTCTATAGAAATTATATGTTCCAACATTATATGCATTTTAAATTCATACAAATGAATGGTCAGTGAATGAAAAAATTTAATGTTAAATAAACAAAATAATGTTATTAATATAGATAAAATTTTAGTTCAAAAAATAATCAGTAAATTAAATATCTAATTTTTTGTTTTACGTAATACATATTTTAGATTGTAACATTAGTAATGTATCCTCAATTGAATACAATTTATTGCAATTGTGGTAAACCCTTCGAATTAGTATTATGTTATTATTCGAGAATTTATATATTACAAAATGAATAAAATAATTTTAAAAATAACAATAATAATTTGTCATTCATTACTGTGCGGAATATATAACCACTTACGATAAACATGATGATTTTTTCATACTTGAATGGTAGTTTATTACACAGCGAACATTTTGGTAGATTATTTTTTTCACTTAAGAGAGACACGAATATTATTAGTAAATTTTATTTAACAGGTGTCATTATTTTATCTTTTATGACGACTCATTTGTCTGTAAAAATACTCAGTATACATCTACATATTTTACTATGTTATAGTATCTTAAATTATCTTAAACCATGTAAGTATTGTACATAATATAACTATTATTTGAAATTTATTTTAAGATTTTATAACATCTTATATACAATTTTTAGTTGAAAATGTAACAACAATATTTTTCGTTAAATAATAATTTTTTCATAAATATGTACCCATTCAAATTTGATTTATTTTGATGAGACATAGTAAATACCAATTTTGTTGAATAGAAATATTTTAAGAGTTGATTGACTTTCGAAAATCAAAATGGGAATATATTATCATTTTTTGAAATATTTGCATTTAAACATTAAAGAACAGGTGAAAGAACTTGTAATTATGGACAATATATTTTTACAATGGCGCACAGAAAAAAATTATATGATGCTGTGCACCTCTCTCACCATTAACTAAAAATTACATTAAAGTACATAAGTTATTATAAAAAACTTGTTAACATTTTGTAAACATTTTATTTAGACCATTTTCCATTTTATAGTAAAAAAATAATAATAGGTTCCTAATTAACTTTCGAAGTTACTTTTACCTTTAAAATCTTCTTTTGCGAACATTAAATAACATTATATCATAAAGTGGTGTGTTACTAAAAAATATTTCATTTTACATGGTTTTAAATTTCTATCGTGTTATTAAGTTAGTCTCGAAATTCTATTATGTCAACGAAAATGCAATAAAAAAAAGGTATAGTATAGTTTAAATTAGAGTAATTAAAAGAGAAAGTTTTATCCATCATAGACAAAATTCATAAATTTGTCAACTTGCTTTCAAAAAAAAAATGAATTAAACAAATAAAAAAAATTAACTTGTATTTAAATTACCGACTATATTTAATTAAAAAGTTTTCGTGGAGAAATACTCATTAAAAATTTTCGTTAATCAAAAATTTAACTTTATAAAACAGTTATTATTTATGGTTTTATAAATATTTTTTTTTTTTAATGAATGATTTATGAAAAGTGTTACAACACGTTATTGTCGTGCACTAACGCTTTCAAAGTTTTGACCCGTTGTAGAGACCATTAAGTCTACACTTTATGTTAATGCCATTTACATATTTTATTAACAAATTTTGTTGATCAAATATTTACATTATTTGCTGTGTCTTGTGGAAACCTATTTCTGTTGCTTTACATATATTTCTTTCTAAATTTTGAAATACAAATAATTTGTACCTATTTGATATTTTCCTAAGTATAAGAAAACTCGAGAATTATCGGTGTAAAATTGTTTTCATTGACTTAATTTTTAATTAAAGAATTATCATTTTTACTTTTAGTATTTTGTATTTAAAATAATTGCATTATCTTAACTGATATTCCTTAACCATTAATTTATTAGCTCAACTAAACTTTGAGTACTTCTATTCTATCTATAGGTATTTATAATAGATAGTATAAAGAAAAAGATGCCCAATTATCTTTTCAAAGTATCGACACTAGTAACTATTAATTATATCAGCTACTAAATTTGGTCTACTTAGGTTACTGCATCTGCTAATCTACATTCTATTTCCTTATAAATTAATTGACTACTCGGATACTAAACCTTATAAAATATTTAGTATTCCATTCCCTAAGATGAAAATTTTCTCACGACTGTATCTCTAATCCATACGACTGCTATTCTGCAAATAACCACATATTTTTGGTTTTATATAAAGTCTATGTTTACTTTATTTTAATTAAAATTCTTATTAAATGTATAAAGTTTACCATAATATAACATTTTATAAAATTGGTGAACCTTTTACGAAAAAATATTTATATTTTTGTATGCCTTGCATTGAGCTGAATTTTTGTTAATAGTAAAGTATTTCTAATAAAATAAATATTTAATGACTTTCACAAATATTTTTACTAAAATCATAATATAAGCTAAGTTAGAAAAAACATGTAATTTTATTTTTATAGTCTTTATCTGTGTATGGAATTATTCGCATTTGTCTTTCATAAGCGTTTCTACTGATTAAATTGAAATATGTCCAATTGAGATTTTGTAAGGAATTACTGTAATTCAATATGGTTTATTTTAGTATCAGAGATAAACATCATTGTATTTTGAATATCAACTTAGTTTTGTGTATAATGAATGTTTATCATTATATGTGTTAAATGTACTCATACACGTGTTTGCTTTTTATTGTTAAAACACGAGTGTACTTAAACTGCATTTGTGTAGTGTTAATATTGTGACACTTATTTAAGCTTCATTTCAATGAAATAAGGTTATTAAGTAGAATTATTTTGTCGTCAATTAAATAATATGAGGTTATAAAAAAAAACTTGTTGCATGATAAACAATGCTAGGGACTAGTTAATTCGAAAAGATCAGTACTGTAACTTAATAATATGTAAAGGTAAGGATGTTAAAATTGTATAAAATCTAAGAGTAAATAATTTACATACTTAGTAAAACACCATTAGTATGATTTGCCAATCAAGTAAGAAGACAATATAAGAGATTAATTAATACTTCGGTATAAGGTGCTTCATTTCGTTTTTATGTTATGTAGTGAATGGTAATTTGAA